CTGTTAGGGACCCAGAAGTAACGGGGGAGGCTGTGAAATTGAGAAGAATGTCACAGCTTGGCTCAGTGACCATGTTAAAATGTAAAGCTGTTAATACAAGGAATCTGCTTTGGAGATCTGAGGGATCTCAGGTTTGGAGAGCAAAGAGGTAACAAGGCTAGCTTCATAGATGTACTGGGGGCGGGAGTCTATGGGAAGTCCTAGTTTTAGAGGATCAGGGAATTATGGGACAGTGGAGAGGGCAGCAGGTGTTGAGGTGGACTGGGAGATCACCTGGTAGCTATGTCGAACCTCTCATTGACGGTGCTGACCCTCCAGCCTCTGGCTCCCTGTTTCTTCCGCTCAGTTTCCCAGTCTTCTAATGTCTCCAACAGAGGTACAGGTGGTTTTCTGGAGCCAGAACCCTGGGCTGGGCAGAAGTGAAGCACAGAGGAGGAAGAGGAACCAGAGGCAGCTTCTTACCTCTTGTCTTCACTAGCCCCTACTTTTCACTCTCTCCTTACCCTAAAGCACCTCACTCACCAGCCTTCCTCTGAGTTATCCCCGCATACTGCTGGGTTTGACTGCTCTGAGCTCTGGCTTGGACAATGGCCATGCTCACCTGTAGAAGAAAGCACATCCCATCCTTTTTTTTTAGGCCAAAGAAGTGAAAAGGAAATGGAGGCTATATGTCCCTCCATGGCTTTACCACCAACAGAGAAGAGCAACAAAACCAGTCCAAAGAAGGGAGCACCCACAGATCATGGGGACTGGGATCAGAACAAAATTAGAGCCACAGAGTCATAAAATTAAATTCTGGGAAGAATTTTAGGAATACTATCATCCAACCCTTCGCATTTTTCAGAGGCACAAACCTGCCAGCAGTCACACTGCAGGTAACTGGCAGAGCCAGGCTAGAATTCAGGCCAGGATGGGAGAGAGGAATTGCCAGGAAGAGGACCCCCCAAAAGTTCTGAGGAGAAGAGTTATCTTCAGGTTCAGAGCCCCTTACCTGAAAGGCCTGAGGTTCTAATCCTCCAGCCTCAAAACCAACCCTGAGCAGTCGGAAGTCTCGGCCATGAATCAGAATCTCCTCAGGGATAAACTTAAGCTGTGACCCTGGACGGAGGAGCTGAACTCGTGACAAGCCACTCACTGAAGTCAAGATTAGAGAGCTGTGTGACCATATGGTCTCTCTGGGAGGCTCTTCCAGCTCATCCCACCCAGCCCTTGGCTTTCTTCTGAGCAGAAGACAGAGAGAGGTTCCAATGCCCTCTGCTAACCCTGAAGACTTACCAGCGTCTAATCGCCCAATGTTGCCCAAGGCAAAATCATATTCGCTGCTCAGGGGAGTGTCCTAGAGGAAGCATATGAAGATGACACAGATCTGAAATAACCCTGCTTTCTCTGCCTTGATGGCCCCACCCCCCACTAGGGAGCAGCTCCCCTAAAAATAACACACCCCTCTTTTTTTAGACAGGGTTTTGCTGTTGTAGCTCAGGCTGGCCTTGAGCTCACTATGTAGTCCAGGCTGGCCTTGAACTCTTGGCGATCCTCCTGCCTCAGCCTCCCAAGTGCTAGGAGCACAGGAGTGCACACCACACCTGGTTTAAATATAATCCCCTTTGACTCTAATGCATTCCAAAGACAGCCCTTTACCCTGTTGTCTACATCTACCTAGACTCCTGTACCCATTTCACTCTGTCTTATCTATGGCCCTAGCCATCTCACCTGACTCCGCTGCCATCCACAGGGCCAGAAGGTGACCCTGAAGTTGGTGCATATCAGGGTTCCAGGCAATTCAGGGTCCAGTCCTTTCCTCAGCCCTGGGGCCCATGCTAGTATCTGCTCCCCTAAGGAAGAAAGGAAGCCAGGTTATGACTCCCCAGTGCTGCCCATACACCCATTCCTCTGAGACAAGGATATAGAGAAGGAAGATAAAATCCTTCCCTAAACCCATAAGTTTGAGGAAAAAGAATTTTTTTTTAAACCTCTGTAACCAGAATAGAAAATAGAATGGAGCCTGACATATAGTAGACATTCAATTATTGAATAAATGAGAAAAGGGCCAACAGGGTCAAGAAAAGGGAGGCAACAGTAAGGTCCAAAGCCTCAGCCAGGCCTGGAGAGAGAAGCAAGGGCTGTCTTTAGCGACGCCAGGAAACAGTTGGGGTGGGTGAATTTGGAGGCTTTCAGGAGGTCAGATCATTACCTGGGAAGCATCCAGAGGCCAGGCAGCTGCCAGGCTGACGACTCCTGAGCTCCGGCATCCTGCGTCCCCCGAGGGACGTGGGCCCAGAGAGCTGAGGGGGGCGTAGCTGTGACCCCAGGCCAACCGGCCTGGGTCTGGGATTCCCTCAGCAGCCCCCTTGAGAGGCCCACACTCAGACTCCAGGGAAACGGATCTGTGTCCTGGGGAGCTGGGCACTAGGGCAGGCAGGCGCCGAAGGGAGGGGCTGGTTAATGGGTAATGAGACCCGAACTTGAGGCCGAGGAGCTCCACGGGCAAGCTCCACGAGCAGACACACCCGCCTCCTCTAGATCTTCCCTTCCCCTCCGGAGCTACAGCATCCCCATGCATCCCCGCTCCGGCCCCCAGATTCCTTCTCCTTACCCCTATCTCTGGCTCCTCCTTCCGGGGGGCAATGTTGAAACTCTGGCCCCGGCCCCCCCACCACATTTCTCTGGCTCCATCCGGGGATGGAGCAGTAAGGGTAGGAAACCTTAAGGATGCTCAGTCCCTCTGGGAAGGAGCTGAATATTACAGTTGAGAAAAGGGAGATTAAAGAGAGAGGGGCAGGTGGGAGGACACGAGAGGAAGAAGCATTTGCGGTGCACGGAGCACAGTTTGGGGGTCTTTTGAAAGGTGTGACCAGCCCAGCCGGAGTAGTCTCCTCGGAAACTTCGGACGACTCTGGAGAGGGCGGAGAGCTGCCCAGCCCCTTAAAGGCGAATACACACAATCTTGGAAAAGTAGAAAGCATATGGAGACGCTTCAGAAAGAGGAGGAAAAGGAACATAGAAGAAAATCCGTACTCCCTCGTTTATCCCAATCTCACAGCCTACTCTCTTCCTGTCATGGGTATTGGAGACTGAGGGGGACAGTAATAACTGATTTTTGTGTGCGTGACAGAATCTCAGGGTGTAGTTCAGGCAGCTCTTAAACTATGTAGCCCAGGCTGGCCTCGAACTGGCAGCGATCCATCCTCCAGCCTCAGCCACCCGAGTGCTCGATTACAGGCGTGCACCACCACGGGGAGTAACACTGATTATTAAACTGGAATAACGGACTGGAACTGCCTCTCCGGACTTACAGTAATGACTTCCTTACCCTCTTACCCTGGGAAGCTCTGTACGTGTGCGTGTCCTCGTGTTTTAAAGGAGGAGGTGCAGTAGAAATGCAAAGTAGTTCAGCTCTCTTAACTGCCTCTCCCGATACACCTACCAAAAGTGGTTGAGAAGGGGAAGTAAATGGGAACTGGACCCAAGATTCTGGGAGGTTCAGGAATTGGGGGAGGAAGCTGGTCAAAGTCTAGCTGTCCTCCTCCAGAGCGAGGTGTGCCGGGGAGGGGGAGAGGCTGAGCGGGCCCCGAGCAGCCGCGGCACAGGCCCGCTTGTGCGCATGTCTCGGATGAGGCCGGGAGCGCGGGAGGACCAGCCTTTAACCTGTCCGGCCGAGCACAGCACGCTGGGTTCGCCTCCTCCTCCCACCCAGCCCACCGTTGGGTGACCCCACCCCTCGAGCGCGGACACCAGATCTCCAAATGAATGATTCATGTTCCCTCTCTTCATGTCCTTGATCACAACCCCCTTCCTCACCTCTGCAACCCAAGAAGCAAAGATGGGGGCGGGAGTGGAAGGCAAGTAAAAGAGGCGCAGCCCTGGATGACTTGGGGGCAGCAATGCAAAAATCTATGTTTAGGCATGAAAAAGACAGGAAATAAAATACCAAATGAGATTTAATGAGCTGCTTTATTGTGTTCGAGTGTGTACAAAGGCAGCAGTGCTTAGATGGGGCCCATTTTCCAGTGACGTTCCTCTCCCCTCCCCCAGCAACACACCCTTCCGGCCTTGGCTTTAGCGCTCAGTCCTGGCGGGCAGTGTGGAAATAATGAAGATATTGTGAGCCAAGAGGTCAGTCTAGAACGCAGATGTACACACCTGCTAGGAGGGGCCCAGGAGTGCAGAAACCATAAAGGCTCCTGAGCACAACTCACACCCCCACTTCAGTGTCCTAGGGGAAGACGACAGGTCCCGGTGTGTTAGAAAACAGTAACAGCATGGGAAAGGTGCGTGCCACAATCTTAAAATTCTAGTATGGGATCCACTTCCTTCTCGCCGCCTCTTCACTCGAGAGCCTCGTTCTATCCGAGGTTGTGGGAGCAGCAGAATATAAAGAAAAAAACGTCAGGGGAATGAGAAATAAAACTGGATGTCTTGGCTCAGCACCTAACCAGTGATGCAGTGGGGACAGCAGCTGGGGGCTAAGACAGGAAGCCCATCTCTGCACCCTGGCACAAATTTACTGGATGGAAGGGTGGAGAGACAGGAGGCTGTATCAGATTTTTCCATTTTCAGAATCATGCTCTGGTTGCAGATTTGTGCCAGGAGGAAGGCTGTGGGGAGGGGCAGCGGGAGGAGGGTGGAGCCGAGTGACTCAGAGTGAGTCACGATCCAGTTATACGCACAAGCACGAGAAAAGAGGCCTCGGTCCTCCCGCCCCGCGCCCCTTACCCACTGGGCCAGCAAAGGGAGGCGGCGTGGAGTCTACGTGGGGACGTAATATTTTGTTAATCAGCTTAAGTGCGGGGGGGAAATTCTGCTTTGGAGGCCGGGTCTCTTCAAAAGAGACTGCGTGTAAGAGTCGCTGAATCTGCAGTTGAAGGGCCTGGGGACAAAGAAGGAAATGAGAAAAATCTGAGGTGCAGGTGATCCCAGGTGGGCAGGGACTCTGCTTCCTACCCGTGGCTGTAAACTCGGGGTGTTGTCTCCTTGGAGAAGGAAGACAGAGTCCGGAGGTGTCAGAGTAACTCAAGAGACATCGTCTCTGAACTGTTCCTTTATTAAGAAAAATTGTGACGGAAACCTTGGCCATGTGGCTTAAAGGAGTAAGAACAGTAAAAGCTAGGTTCTCCTAAGTCCTTGACAACCAACTCCCTTCTTTCTGGCTTATTATTTCCCAAAGATACAGCACAGTTACTGCTACTTTTTGTTTTATTGGTCTGTGAGCTTTTCTTTGGGGGGAGGGCAACGTCCATTCCAATGCCCTGCACAGCACTGAGTTTAACACCATCCCTACTCCTTAGAGACTCAATCTTTTTTGAGACAGGATCTTGCTATGTACTTCAAGCTGGCCTTGAATCAGGGCAATCCTGCCTCAGCCTTCCAAGCGCTGGAATTACAGACATGCACCACCATGCCCAGCTGAGACTCCTTTAAAAAACTAATTATCGGCCGAGGGATGTAGCTCAGTGGCACTGTGCCTACTTGGCAAGCGCAAGGTCCTGAGTTCGATCCCTGGTAACACACACACACATACACACAACCTAATTATCTATTATTGAGGGGAGACTTCTAGTTGACTCTTATAGCCCTAAATAAAACCAGCAGAGGATTTGGAAGCTTACCCTGTAGTAGATTTGCTCCACTGGGAACTGGATAAAGAATATAGCACGAAGGAATAGCACTGTTACAGAAGGGGGAAAATAACCCTGAAAATCTCCCCTTTCCATTAAGAACTTCAGTAGGTACCTCAGATGCCCTGGATTAAAGGAACTAAGAGCACTTAAATTTAAGCCTGAGATGATGTCATACTTCCCCAGGGATAGAGTCCCCCCTCACTCACATACCTCTCATGAACCACGAAGTTTTCTGTGGTTTTTTGAGACAAGGTTTCGCTATGTAGTTCCAGCTGGCTTTGAACTATGTAGCCTAGGCTGGCCTTGTAATTGGCAGCAATCCTTCTGCCTCAGCTTCCCCAGTGCTGTTTTACAGGTGTGCGCCACCTCGCCCAGCACCAAAGAAGTTTTATTCTGAGTACATGGCATGTAACACTCTCTCCCTTGTCCTCAACATGCTGCTGCACAGGGCTGCTTATCCCATTCCTCATCTTCCTAAAATACCACAAAGCGATCCTTGTCTACCTTGATTTCCCAAGCATTATTCCTTAACTCATCCTACACTAACCCTCCTCAAAAGAATCATGCAGACGTCATTATTCTCTATTTTTAAAATATCCATTGTCTCAGAGTCCCTCATCCTTAGAATGTTTTCCAAAGCCTTACTAGTTACCATCTCAAGTAAAAAATAATTTATTAAGGGCCCAAAGCCCTAATCATATTCACCCCAGGACTCCCTTCTCCTCCTCTAAATTTCTATCTTTTTCCTCTTGAGGGCAAAGGGAATTGGAATTTGATAATTTATAAATAAAAACAAACATGATACAAGGTTTCTGTTTTTGTTCATCTGTCCTGTTTTTAAAAACAGAAGTGTTATCTAGAATCTCATAACAGATCCAAGTTCAAACACCGCAGACTAGGGGAGAACCGCCTTCCCCGGTTTTTATTCTGGGAAACCCCTGGTCTGATCCCAGTCCTCTTGGTCCAGGCCAGCCCCCTCCCGTGACGTCCTGAGGGAGGGAATCAAGCTGTGCACATCCAGGATGTGGGTCTGAGTGCAGGAGAAGGGGTGGAGGCTCACGAAGTGGTCTCACCAGTGTGGTTCAAACCCCAGAAATGGGAACGATCAGGGTGATGTGAACAAGGCATTCACCTCGGGTACAAAACGAGAGATGCTTAAAAGCCCATGAACCAAGATAAACACTATTTTGGTGCAATATACATTACAAATAAAAATTAATGTGGGTCTCATGATGAACAATGTATCAAAAGTGTAAATAAAGACAGGAAGCATCCCTATATTTGCTCAATCCAACCTTGCTTCCCACATTGTAATTCTGATCCTGTCTTTACAATTTTGATACTGTGTTCAACATAGATTTTTGGCATTGATTTTTTTAAAGTTCTGAATTTTTTTTTCAAGTATTATCTTGATTACTAAGCGCCCTTTTAAATTTTGCAACTATGGGGAGTGCTTGTCTCAGATGCCGGCTCTGCCCAGAAATACACATATCCCCTCCTGTGGAGCCTAACCTTCCCTAAAACCCTAAGAATTAATAGCCACATGAAGTGATTAAATCAACAGACCAGCAAATTTGGAAAAAGTGACTTTCAAGTCTGTTAAGGAGAAAAGAACCTTTCTAAACTGAGTAGTTTCAGTGAGAAGGTCTTTGCTGGCTTTTACCAAGGGGAAAACGAAAACTTTCCTGACTGGGCAGAGGGAACACATGCAAGTAAGTGCCCCAACACATACACACACACACACACACACACACACACACTCACACTGTGTGTGCCCTGCATCAGAATTGGGGATTATATTACATGGGATGGTGATTAATACAAGCCTCAACACAGAAACCCAAGTACAGAAAAAGAGCCCCCAGTAACATTCTGGACACTTAAGTGCACTTATTCCCCTTCTTTATATGCACCCTGGAGTGTATATAATTGCATAGTTTGTTGTATTTTTCAGCAGAAAAAAATATAAAGAATAATTGGCCCAGGATAGGTCTGGTTTAAAGCTCTTAGAAACGGCTCTGGCCAGAGCACAGGCTGTCCAGACTTGTGCTTTGTGCAAAATGCAAAGGGGCTCCCCCTACTGTGTTCACATCCCCACCCCTACCCCCTGGAAAACAGGGTTGAGTCAGGGGAAAGAGAAATCCAGACAGATCAGCTCATCAGGAGTAATATGTGATCTGTGGTTATAGTTCACTAAAATATATTTTTCTTAACTACCATTTTATAAATTGCCCCAACCCCCAGTCTATGTTTCAACATCAGTCCTAATATCAAAAATATCTTTTCTTACAAAGTATTTTATTATTATTATTATTTTAATAAACTAACCACAGATTAAGGTCAACTATGGCTTAACAAAAGAAGCCGGGATGTTAAAGTTCATTCTCCAAAAGTAGAGAGGAAGGAGAAAGAATCACTTAAATAGGAAAAAAAAATAATAATTTTTAAAAATGTTTTTGTTGGGATATTGTCTCTTTCCTTAAAAAATTTAGTCAATAAAATAAGTTGCTTTCTACAGAAACACAGCAGCAGAAGATGGTAGTGCTTTATGTAGGTTTTTGGTTTGGTTTCAAACAGTCTAGCCTAATGTGTGTCCTTCCCCACCCTGTCCCCAGGTACTGCACGCTCTAACCCATTTATGGTTATTGCTAAGTAGTTAAAAAACAAAGCACTCTGCACCCATTCACCTGGAGAAAATTCAAAATAAACAGCTGTTCTTCTCACTGCTGTCTTTTTTCTCAGAGGAAACTTTTAAAAAATAAAATTTAAGTGTTAAAAAATCATACCCTTCTTAATTTAGCTGAGCTCAGCCTTCAAAAAGGATGAGGAAAAGACAGGGGCAGTCTGCGTGTCCTCTCAAACTAGCATGGACAACAGATGACTGCAGAAGGAAACAAAATTTCAGAGGAAAAGAATGCCCTTTTACGTTCCTGCCTTTGTTGTCTTCATAAACGGATTTTAACTACTTCCTTTTCCTAACAAGTACCCAAGAACACACAGTTCTGCCTTGCCTTTCCACATCCTTCAGAATTTACCCAATCCTAATTATACCTTACTAAAATCAATAGCAAATCTGTCCAATTACACTCTCAACTCCATCACCATGTGTTTTTTTCAAACCTAAGAGAACTTTGGTCAATCTTGTCTTTAACTGCCTGAGAGCCTCCTTTACCTGTAACACCTCCCCGACATCAGCCCACCTCCCACCCCGCACACCAAACCTTCCCCACTGCTTTCCCTTAGGTTCTGGGATGAGACCCAAGGTGTGAGATGGAATCACCATCTCCCACTCTCTCATGTCTCCTTAGTCCCATCAAATCAAGCTCTGCAAAGCAGTACAGCCCTGGGCACCGTCCAGCCCTACCTGCTCTTATCAGCCTGGCAGCACTCCAGCTCGCACACTTAAAAGTTCCCAGCCAGGCTCCCACAAACATTTATGTATTTGCCCCATTAACGTGAGGGCTGGGCCTTGATGAGCCAATGAGTCACGCTTAACTTTCTTTAGCCCCCTTGACCTCCAAGGCCCCACCATTCAGAATCTGTGCACCAGTAGCTCCCCACCAGGTTCACGTTCCCTCCTCCTCAGTTCTTCCCTATAACAGCAAGAGCAGAAGTTGTTTGTCTCAGGGTGTCCATAGAAGCTGCAGTTCGGTTGTTTGCACTTGGTCTGGGTTGAGGGAAGCCCCTGGGAACCTCCAGCCCATCCATCTGGCTCAGGGGGTTCCCTGTAGCCATTGCTATAGGAATCAGCCACGCGGAAGCGGGGTGGCAACAGTGTGCCCCTGGGAACTCCATCCTTGGAGTGAGTATCTGGCTCCAGAGGTGGGACGCTGTCCTGGTGGGGGTAAGGTCGCCCAGGAGGACACTGTCTGGGGAAGGTAGCATATGGTGGTAGCACCCCCCCACATGGACCCCCTGCCAGCTGCCTCCTGGGTTCCTGGCAGTGGACTCCACCCCCAGAAGGCCGAGGGATGGTAAAGCCCCCAGGGTAGCCAGTTGAAAAGGCCATTGCCTTGGATTCTCCTGCAGGCGCAGTCAGCTGCTCCTCCCCATCTGGCTCTGGTTTTTTGGCTGGGGGAGGCCCACTCCCTACCCCTCCATTAATGATCTTCCTCTCTGCCTCCTTCTGCTTCTGCTCTGCCAGGAATCTCTCCTCCGCATCAGCAAGGTACCGCTGGATCATCTCCTCCTGATACTGTTGACGGTGACCCATCTTCAGCGTTCCAACAAAAATAAATTTCCCTTCCCCTTGCATTGCGATCCTCATAATGCTCAGGCTTTGCATCACTTCCTGGCTATACTTGCTTCCCCCATTACCAACAGACTCAGATGTGGGCTTCTCAGACACAGGCCCATCCCCGGCTCCCTCTTCTTTGCCACCCTTCCAACTCTTCAGTGAGTTTTTCTTCTTTTTCTCCAGTGTCTCAGTGCCACTGTTTACCCCTGACCCAGTCCCTGCCCCGCCAGGCTTAGAGCCTTTGCTGTGCATCAGGCCTCCCATGTTCTTTTTGAGCTTGCTGCCCAAGGTTTTGCCAAAGCTGCCAAGTTTGTTAGCCACGGAATCTGCTCTCTTCTTGTCCTTCTCCCGATCTCGCTTGGACTTCTCTTTCCACTTGTTGCCCTCATTGCTGGTAGAACTGCTGCCAACGGACTCCTTGTCTGATTCCCCAGACTCAGGTGTGGACCGAGGCTCATCTCCAGCTGAAGCTGTGGGGGACTCGGGCTGCGCCAGAGGAGCCTGGAAGAGACCAGAACAGGGCTGACAGTTATCCCACGACTGAGGCAGTGCAGAGCCCCTAGGAACCCGAGGCCATCCATCATATCACAGGGCTCCCTGCTGCCACTGCTCTAGGGCTAGGACTGTGGATAGTGAGTGCCCTTCAAACTCCGTTCTTCGAGTGACTGCCCAGCTCCAGAGAATGGCTGTTGTCATGATGAAGGACAGACACTGGGGAGGACACTGTCCTTTGGCTCCAGTCAGCTTCTCATGGGCCAAGGAAAGATGTATAAAACATCTTTTATCACGCCCACTGCAATGACTCCCTTTTATAGCAAGGAGATACTGCAGTGAAGCCTGACTGCTCTTCAGATCAATGAGCGATCATACAATACACAGCCTCTGGCTGAGAGAATATTTTAGAGATACCAAAATGTTTATTATAAATTTCTCTATGTCAAATCCTGTTTAAAATTAATTTCAAAGAAGTCTTGACTAACCACAACCAACCAAGCCTGACCATTTTGCATCACCCAACTTTGATATAGTCAGCACTCTGGAGGTCATATGTTTGCCCTTGCTCCTGTATCCCTGTTCCAGCTCAGAACCCAAAGGACACGGAACTGTTTCAGATACTGTGCCTCCTTCTGGTGGCCCAAACAGAGGTCCATCCACAGAGAGCTTGAAAAAAAGCAACAGCAATCTCACCTTTACTGGAAAGTCAAGAAAACCTTAGAAAATGTATTTTAGAGATGTGGCTATAACTCAGACATATAGCACTGGCCTGGCAGGCACAAAGCCCTGGGTTTGATCCCAGCTCAGCAGCACTGCTGGGGGTGGGGGAACGGACAGTATGTGAAAGCAGAGCCTGGTTGGAGAGATGTGGACCACACAGAGGACTAACAGGTAAAAAGGCAAGAAAAAGAATTCTTAGAACTGATCTAACATCTTTCAGTTACTCCTAACCCCAACTCATAAGCTAAACTAAGGAGATTTAAAAGACAAGCACCACCAGGTCCCTTTGCTGTCCCTGTCACTGAATGGGAGGACACAGAGGACAGGGCTGGGAGACAGCATCACCTGTGCATCAAAGGACAGTGGGATCCACTTCACATTCATGTAGCTATGCAGCAGATGCAATTTGACCTCCAGGGACAGAATTACACTATGGAAAGGAGAAAAAAAAATTTAAAAATTAGTGACCATATTTAAAAGAAAAGCACTGTGACATAGTTGGGAAGGAGAATTGAGTCCTACATGGCTTAGGATTCAATTAAGTTTGAATTATAGCTTTGTGATCATGACCAAGTCATTTCAACCTCCCAGAAATGCAGCTGGGGTTGGTAATGGGTACTGAGAACAGGATCTGTCCTGTGGCATTGTTGTGGAGATTAAAATAAAATAGTGTCTGGAGAGTAAGAAATACTAAACAGTAGCCATTATTATTACTATTGTTGTAAGTATTATTTAGATGGAGGTTTTGATAATTAGGTGAAAACTTAATTTCTAAAAAGCCGTAACTGGAATTTAAAATCAAACTCAATCAGGCAGCTCCCAAAGGAGCAGAAGCCCAAAGAAGGAAGTACCAGGTACAAGGGAAGGAAAGAACTTTTATATTCCTATGCTGTCCGTTGGGAAGCTGTGGTGGGTGTCAAGAGGAGGCTAAGCAGGCTACAGGGGAGCAGGATGGGGAATATGGGAGGAGAAGGAATGTATTTTTCTTGTTGCCTAAATTCCAGAAAGAGAAAAACCCAAAGCAAACTATTTCAGTCAACTATTTAAGACTCCTCACACATCGGCAGAGATAAAAAGTGTGATTTGATTCTCTTGATCTGATGACTGATTTGCGGGAATTCTGGGGTATATCAGAGAGCAAGACCACGCTTCCTACTATAAGAAAGGCACAAGCTTGAGACTCCAGTACTCCCTTAACTGTCACAGACAGACAAAGTTGCTACAAGATGCAACAGTCCTGGTGCCCAACCTGGCTCGCACCTCACCGTCTTCTCAAACAAACTAGAATTGGAATGTGAGTGTGTTGCTTCTGAGCTAAGGAAAAATCCCCGAGATGCGGCTGCTGGATGTGGAAGAGATCGCAGCTACCAAGAGGTGGAAAGGCTGGGCCTGCCTCACCTGGCCAATCGGACATTGTCACTGTCATCTTTGCCCCACTCCCAGCCTTTTCCTGGGTCCACTGCAAAGTGCAAGGGCAGCAGCTTATGCTCTGAGTCTGTAAGTGGGATCACAGCTGGGGAGGAAAAGAAACATGGCGTCAGGGTGACTCTTCGAGAGAGGAGGGCATCTGAACACACTATGACTGTATACAGGTCTCCAACTATAGGCACGTCTTGATTCTTGCAGATGAATTACCCCAACATTAAAAACCAATAGGCTAATTTTCCCCTACCACCCAGCATACAATGTAGGCCACTAATCTCTGCGACTCCCCACCAGTCCATCTAACTTTCATCATGTTCTCGCCAGTTGCGTGTATTCAAAGAATTCAGTCACTAAGATAAATGCAGCAAAGCATCATTTGGAAGGTTCTACAACCTTCATGCATAAGCCCCTTACTCCAGAATAGGCTGTTTTTCCCCCAAGATCTTTTGTGTGTGTAACTGAAAACCCTGGTGAGCCAGGCATGGTCTCACATGCCTGTAATCCCAGCACTCAGGAGGCTGAGGCAGGAGGATCACCATAAAGTGGAGGCCAGCCTGAACTACATAGCAAGACCCTGTCTCAGCAAACAAACAGGCCCAGGGATATAGCTCAGTGGCACAGTGCTTGCCTGGCAAACACAAGGCTCTCAGTTCAATTCCTGGTACCAAAACAGACAAGACAAAAAAAAGAGAGAGAAAACCTAGTAAAACAGTATTAACATGTATCACCTGGGTTTGCATAGCCCTTAATTCTTTCCTCCTACATTAGCTCTCGTTTTCCTTTCACCAAGTGAAAACAATGCAGACGAAATGATGCTAAGACAGACACCGCATCCATCACCTTGTTCCTTGGCATTCTCCTTCTGCTCCATGGACACAAGTGCAGAAAAGTGGGCCTGATCATAGGCGAGCACCAGAGGGGATCGGTGACACTGGCTGATGGGGACCTCCAAGGGCAGATAGATTCCCCCAAAGGGAATAGGGGCAAATGCTGCAGAAAACCAAGATCATTACTAAGACTACATTCTTACCTCTGAGCAATCCTTCCACTTCCCTCTGCCAACCCAGTCCCCCCTTTCATTCCAACTTGTTTAATAATTCTTTCCTAAAAAGCCTTGTCAATTAATCCCAATGGCTTTATAAAGTGAAGAAAGTCTCTTAAGAATTTTGCATTGCTCTAATTCATACTTTTTCTTTTTCCTCCAAGTGTCCAAATATCCCACTTTCCTGCCCTCCTCCCAGTGCTTAGCCAAAAGATCTGCAAATGGGGGTGTTGGGGTACAGTGAGACTGACTGGCAGACTGACCTTCCCCTCCAGAGTCCCTCAGCATGGTGTCCGCCACCACAACTATCGGCCTTTTGAGCACATGAGCGAGGACAAAGACGTGGAACTCTTCCAGGCTCTCATACACAGGCTCTTCTGAGCTCTCCACCCTGGATTGCGCAGATGAGAGTGGAAGGGGAACAGCAGAAGGGAGAGAGGGAAGAAAACAAAACAAGAGAGCCCTGAAGACCAGTTCTGAAGAAAAGGAAATAGGAATGTCCCTTTCTGGTTTCACAATTTACTTAAGGCTACCATTGACAAAACTGATTATTTTACACTGTTGTGGTTGTTTCTACTTCCATTTCTCCAGTGGGAAAAATCTAAGAAAAGAGAATGTGAAGGCCCTGGGGTTAGAGTAGTCTTAGGAATCGTGAGGTAATCTTTATCTCTTAACGTTCATCCCACTCAACAACCTCCCCCAATTCTCTATCCAGCAGCTGAATACACAACCGCATCATATTATCATATTATCGTGTCACGCAAAAGACATCTTCTTCCCATGTTCACTTTCTTAAGGACTTTCACCACTACCCAGGAGCTTAATGAGAAACTGGAGAAATAGTCACTGTTCTACTTTTCTTTCTTTCTCTTTTTGGAGACAGGGTCTCACTATGTAGCCCAGGCTGGCCTTGAACTCAAGGTGATTCTCCTGCCTCAGCCTCCCAAGTGCTGGGATTACAGGTCTGCATCACCATGACTGGCTTTTACTGTTCTTTATCATTTAGCATCAATTAACCTGGCTTGATCAATTCCATTTCCTAATGTTCTTTTTAAAACATTTTTATTTTATTAGGACATGTTTGCAACACATAATGATTCATAGTGGGGCACTGGTACATGTAGATAACACACCTTAACTCTTTCTAGGTCTCCTTCCTCTCCCTGCTGGCTCCCTCCCTTCATTTCTTGGTACTCTTCCCACTTGTAAAAGACTCTCATACTCTCATACCTGTCTTCTCACCTATCTCCAATCTATCACCTTGTTCACACTCAGGGCCCTCTTGCTTGGATTATTCCTACAATTGCCTGTATTCTCCCTCCTCCCACCTCATTATCTGCTCCAGTGTCACATGTTCAAATACACAATTTGCTCCTGTCACTCCTGTTCTTAAAACTTCCTAGCTCCCCCAACTAAACCTCAAAACAATGCTACTCAACACTGGGTACTTATTACAAACTTGGGATTTCTGGGCCTTACATCATTCCAACTCAATTATACTTTCTTGGGGTAGAGGTCCAGAAAGCTGCATTTTAAATAGTTCTCCCAGATTATTCTTATGTATAATAAAGTTTGGAGAGGTTGTAATTTTTAACTTTCTACTATGGAAAATTTCAAAATTTTAAACACATTGAATACTAGGAGAGAATATTAAGTGTTGAGGGGAGCTCAGTGGTAGAGCACGAGCCTAGCATGCCCAAGGCCCTAGATTCAATCCCCAAACAAAGAAACAAACAAAAAAATTACACTAACTTCTCGTGCATCACTTAGCTTCAACAATAATAAATAAGTGGCCAATTTTGTTTCACTTATACTTTGGTCTATTTGCTTATCCCTTCCCACTCCCACTCTGCTAGATTATTTTGAAGCAAATCCTAAATATTATATTATTTCATTCATTTCAGTTTCTATCTCTAAAAAACCAAACATGTAGACATTGTTCATGTTTTCCCGACTGTCTTTTAAATGTCCACACATTCCATGGTACAAGAGAAACCTCAGCATGGCACACACAATGTGGACAGCCCAGCCTCAGCTATCAATTTGTACTTCTTCCTCTAGCCTGGCAACACACAACTGCCCAAAGTCCCTAGGACAGGCTGCGCTGTTACACATTTCTGTGCCCGAGCCATGGCTCCTCTTTTCTTCTAACATCCCCTTACCACAGAGCCCTTTCTCTGCGGGATCTCAGTCCAGTGAGGCCTCTAAAAAAAACTATTTGAGGCTTCCTGACTTAGCCTTACTCACCCTCCTCCATTGGCTCCATTGGTACCAAGATGCATTCGCGGCTCACTTGAGGCAAGCTTGATCAGCTCATTCCATTCCTTCTGCCATTCTTCCTCTGTGTATACCAGTCCTGACTGTGAAAGACATGCCAGGGACATCAAGCAATCAGAGGCCAGGTTCTAAGAGGCAACACACACTCCAACTCACTCACTGTGAGCACTTGATTTACAACTGTGGTATGAAGTTGAATCTCTCCTCTCTTTCATAGTTGAGATCCATAAGAGAATAGCCCATGAGCTTTCTCATACTCCATCTTCTATTCTTTTTTGGGTCACTGCAACCTGGCTTCAGCTTCTGCCTTGCATCCTATTCCCCCACGCCCCACCCATACTTCACCTACCTGATTCTGCCAAAGGACAACAATAAACAAAATTGCCAAATTTAGTGTACTCTTTAGTTCTCATCTTTCTTAGCCCTCGTGTGGTTTATTTTCCTCCTTAAACATTTTTCTCCTTTAGCTTCCACAATGCTACCTTCTCTTATTTCTCTGAACTCTTGCTGCTCCCCCCAAATTGGGGGTGAGCCATGAGTTCAGCCTTGCTGCCCTCTGGGTGATCTCTTCAACTGCCATAATTTCATCCACCACCATCTACATGCTTATGACTTTAAAATCCCCTCTCTAGTCCACACTTCCTCTTAATTTCTATGCTCACATATACAGCAGCCTAATGAATATTGCTACCTACCCATGGCTACCCAAAACTCTATATATAGTTGAAATGGAACTACTGTCTCTTCTAAAATCTCATTATTCTATCTATATTCCTACCTTTATGAGTGAGTAGCACTACCACTCAAACGGCCAAACAAGAAACCAAGGAGTTATCTTTCTTTTACCCACCTCACATCTAGATCCCTTCAGTCAACAGCTACTAAATGTAAACTACTTCAATGCACCTTAACTGGTTTTACTACCTCCAGTTATGTGCTCTTCCGATCCATTTCCTACAATGTACAAGAAAAAAAATTTGTTTACTAAGAAAATTTTTTAATTAAACTCTGATGCTTTCTTCCTAAAAACTCCTTTCTTTAAGAATCATCACTGTGCCACGCATGGTGGCACACACCTGTAATCCTACCACTTGGGAGGCTGAGGCAAAAGGATCTCCACGAGTTCAAGGCCAGGCTGGGCTACATAGTGAGTTCAAGGTCAGCCTGAAGTATACAGCAAGACCCTATCTCATACAACAACAACAAAAGAATCATCACTGCCCATTAGACATAGCTCAGACTTCTTACAAAGCCCACTTTCTGGTCTAGTATCTCTGAATTACCAGTAGTTCCTGAAATGTGATGTGCTTTAGAGCTCTGAGCTTTTGTCTAAATGCCTTCTGTCTGGAGCAACCCACTCATTAGCCACCTGGGTGTCAGGATGGCCAAGTGGTCTAAGGCGCCAGACTCAAGCTCTGCTTCTCGTTAGCTACCTGATAAGCAATTTCTTAACTTTCAGGACAAAACTCAACTATTACTCCCCTATGAGGTCTTTCCTAAATCTCCCTTACTCCTTCCTTTGTGCCCTGCCTCTCCAGCTGCTACTTAGACTTCTAAACTAGAAGTCACAGCTATTACATTGTATTGCAATTATTTATTTACAGATCCATCTACTATTTTTCTCTTGGGAGCCAGGACCAAGTTTTAGCAATATGCCCAGTGCCTCCTATATGATCAGTAATCAATAAATACAGGCTAAGTAAACTTTAATTTTTGGGTTTTCTTTTTTTGTGACACTGGGGATTAAACCCTGGGGTGCTCTATCATTTCTGGACATTCCCAACCCCTTTTATTTTTGAGACAGAGTCCAAGTTGCCCAGATCAGACTTGAACCTGCGATCCTCCTGCATTAGCCTCCCAAAGTGCTGGGCTTATAAGCATGTTACCACCACACCTAGCTTAAAACTGTAATTTTTATTAAAGGAGAGTGTGTAGTGGTAACAAATGATTTAAAAATACTGTACTGGCTTTAGGATGTATATGATGATTTGAGAGACAAGTTGCTTTTTGCGTTTATTTTATTCTGGGTTTTTGTTGTTGCTGTTGTTTTATTTTGTTTCATTTTGTTTTTTAGACAGGGTCTCACTATGTAGCCCATGCTGACCTTGAACTCATAGAATTTTCCTGTCTTAGTCTCTTAAGTGCTGGGATTACAGGTATGTGCTACCACACCCGGCTTTGAGAGACAAGTTTACCCTACTAATTTTTACTTGGCTTACATTAGTATTAAAATTGAGTGTGCACTGCTTAAGCACACATTGACAAGAGTGGAAGGACTCTTACTGGAAACATACGGGGCATCAGGAACAGATAATAGGATTTAAAGAGTTACTGTGAACATACTTTAATATTTTACTTTAATAATAATTTAAGAAGACATAGCTATTTTCAACTTGTAAAATGCTACCACAGATATTATTTCAATTAAAAATAAAAGAACAACACACAGGTTGCATATAGGGAGGAAGCTCTGATTGCTCCAATATACACAACACCAGAGGATCCGACTCTCACCTAGTTCTGACTCATGTTTTCATACCCGTAACCACTAGGTGGCATACACTTCTAGCCTTATTTAATACTGGGCTTTATCATCAATTTTAACTCAAAACAAGGAGGTCTGGGATATAAAAAATAATTTAGTTTGGTGTTCGGTATTAGGAAACTAAAGCTCCTCAGTCATCATCCTCCTCTTCCCGTTCCTACTCCCAAGTGGGAGAAAATCTAAACAAAGACGATTGTGTAGGGCACATCAGCAGTATAGAACCTTCACCGCGCTGAGCAAAAGGAGTAAAATGATCGTTCTTTCACTAGCTACTATTCTCTATGCATGCATATAAACTGGAGGGAAGGGCAGCTGATCCAGGATAGAACTTAAGTATTTCTGTCTCCTGGCTAGATAATATTATAATCTAATCTAATCATATTTTTAAAATAGTCACTATAATAGATTTAGTAAATGGAATCAGATACTTTCTGATTGTTGCTATCATTTCCACTCATTAGCTGGCATGCTCTGGTTTGACCTTTTCTTGTCCTTGGAATGGTCAAATCTAAGATTACAGTATGGTGTAAATTCAACAGTGAAGAGGTCAAAGGCCAACTACTGACTGAGTTCCTTTCTAGGTTGGCTCTAGCTCAGCAAAAGAAGATTACCCCCCCCAAAAAAGATTACCCCAAGGTCCAGCCTACCCTTTCGTGTTAATAAAAAATGTCACTTATTAATATTAATATGCCCTTGTCCCTGTTAATATATTTCTAGGGCAAATTAGATGATCAAGGAAGGATATGATCTAAATATCATCCTACTTTTAATAACTGGAATATTTGTTTTTGGAGAAATAAACATAATACATTCCTATTTACATATTTTAAATCTTCAAGCCATAAAATTCTAAATAACTAATCTTTTTTTGTTTTCAGCACTGGGGATTAAACCCAGGTCGTTCATGTTGAGCTACATCCTCAGGTTTTGGGGTTTTTTTAAAATAAATTTTAAGAGTAGTCTCAATAAGTTGTTAATTTGCCACGGCTGGGCTTGAACTTATGTTCTTCCTGCCTCAGCCTCCCAGAATACTGGGATTATAGGCATGTGCAACCATACCCACCAAAAATTCTTAGATCTGTATTACTGCCAGTTACGATGGAGCAATAAAAGGAGAAATAAAGAAAAATGAACAAAAAGGAAAGTATCTGAAAAGATATTCCCACACTAACTCCAAAGCATTCCCATAAACACACCAAAGCATGGCAAAAACCAGATATACACAGAAAGCAGAGGGATAAACATGGATGACAGGTAGAGAACGAGCAGACAAGGAAACAGGAGGCCGATTTCTTCATGTAAGTGCATAATACCACTATTAAGGGGAAGGGATCAGCCAACTTTTTCCTATAGAGAGCTAGACTGTAAATACTTTAGGCTCTGCAGACCATACATCATTACTCTGCTCCTGGAAAAAGAAAGCAGCTACACATTTGTAAACATAAACAAGTGAGTTCAGCTGTTCCAATAAAATTTCTTTAATGAAAATGGTCACAGTTTGTCCAACTCCTGTTAAGGAGACGGGATGTACAAATATTACCTTCTTTTCGTCCTTTTTTCCTTCTTTTCACCTTCCCTTTTGCCCTCCCTTCCTTCCTTCCCAGCATTGAAGACTGAATCCAGGGCCTTCACACCGAGCTGTTCCCCCAGCCTTTTCTCATTTTTATATTTTTTTTATTTTTTATTTTTTGGTACCAGGGATTGAACTCAGGTCCTTGCACTTGCAAGGCAGGCAGCGGAACCACTGAGCTAAATCCCCAGCCCTCTCATTTTTATTTTGAGACAAGGTCCACTAAATTGCCCAAGCTGGGCTCAGACTTGCCAAACTCCTGCATCAGCCTCTGAGTGCTGGGATGAAAGGCACGTGCTATCACAGCCAGTTTATTTTCTTATATAAATGTAACCTCATCACTTGCCAAATCCCTGTGTAATAACATCCAAACTCAATTTAATGGGTATACTTTTAAAAATTCTAATCAACCTGAAACAGTAAATGAAAAACAATGTCATATATCAAAAAATAAAGCATTTACAGTTCTATAAGCATAAAACTTAAATCCTTAAAAACCAATCTAGCCTTATTATAAGCAAAAAGCAAAATACAAAAGTCCTAATGAATTATCATATCTCATTTTGCAAAATACTGCCACTATTGAGTTTCTAGCGAATGCAAAGCACAGTATTCACTAACCCCTCTCCAGGTGTGGGCTCCCTGCCAGCTCTCATGACTACATCAGAAGGTATTCGCCCTGTGGCGTTTGTAGCTATCATAACTTCAGGATTGCAAGGGCAACAGCACTGACCTTAGGCGCCTGGAGATACTTCTGTCTGTTCACCACTGGGTAACTTCAGCAACAGGTTAACTAGCAAACAATGTGCTCCCACTTGCACTCTCCTACCTCTTTGTTCTGCTGTGTTTGCTGCCACCTCCAGCGCCTTTTCAATGCTTCTTTCTCCATTCCCTTTTCCATCAGTGCATACAATGATTTCCTCAGTGCCAAGTCCCGATCATGGAAACCCCACATCCCTGTGGCAAGAAAGCACGGTGTAAAATACCTTACAGTGACTCAACCCACTTAAGTTTGAGGGTAGTTTTCATCTGTTTTCACAGGGCTGGTGATCAAACCTCACACAAGCTAGGTAAGTGCTCCACCACTGAGCTACACCACCAGGCCCTCACTTATTATGACACATGGACCCTAGGAAGAAAAAAACCAGGCTAAGCCCAGACTCCAGGACACTCTGGCTATGATTTAGGGAAGAAGTACTTATGAAGAAAAGACATTTCTACCCTGGAGGCACAGAAACTGAGAACTTGAAAGTGGGGATAAACATCCCACCAACACTTGACAGGAAGCCCCATTACTACAGCAAGTCCAACAAATTAAAATACAGGGCAAGGGTGGGGGATTTAGCTCAGTGGCACCGCGCCTGCCTTGCAATCACAAGGTCCTGAGTTCGATCCCTGGTACCGAAAAATTAATTAATTAATAATAATTTTTTTTTTTGGTACCGGGGATCGAACTCAGGACCTTGCGCTTGCAAGGCAGTTGGCAGAACCACTGAGCTAAATCCCCAGCCCCAACAATAATAATTTTTAAAAATACATAACAGCAGGTAAGACTGATCTGATGCACAGCAATCAGCATCAACGCTTGAAGGTTGGGTAGAAAATAGGGACCTTTTTTAAAGCTAAGGGCAAGTAATATATTGAGTTGTAAATAGGCTTAGCAATTTAAGTGTCAAAAAGGACTACTAAAAACTTCTTTTTTACACACCAAAAGAATAACTATTAAGTAGAATCACACACACACAGAGCTATATATCTTTTGCTTATTGCTGCTTTACTCCTAAGGGTCATCTCACAGAGCAGGGCCTAAGCTGAACCCTGTGCTCTCCTCTGCACAAGCCTGAAAGGGCAGGGCTCTCTCCTATCTCTTCCTGTGCCAACACACACACACACATACACACATACATGTACACGTGCATATGCATGCATACTCACCAGCACAGCCTTGCTGTGAAGCACCACTTCTGCCCAGGATGGTTCTGTACCATCACTTTTGCCTAGGATCAAGTTGGTTGGACCAAGTCCTATGCATGAGATTTGATTCAATTTCTTCCTTTCTATAGGAGAATGGAGGGTCATTTTCAAGACTCACCAAGAGAAGCTGCATGCAGGAGGCAGTTCCCATCTCCAGTAGTTGCCAAAGGAAGAAGTCTCTGACAGGTGGGGTCCACACTAACCCACCAATTCAAACGCCCTAAAGAAATATGAGTGGAGGAAAAGGAGACAATTAGCCTCCTCCAGGAAGACTACCCAGAATAAAACTATCGCTCTATAAAGTTTTATATCCTTCTCCTTATACAGTATTTAGTTAGAATTTGGTAATCACAACTGTTTATAGATAAGTAGGTCTTAAGCAGAGACCCAGGCATGGTGGTATATGCCTGTAATCCCAGCATTCTGGGAGGCTGAGACAGGAAGATAGTAAATCTGAGCCCAGTCTGGGCAATTCAGAGAGATCCTGACTCAAAAGAGGGAGGTGGATGTAGCTCAGTATGAAGGCCCAGGGTCTAATTCCCAGTACCACTGAAAAGAAAAAGCAGGGACAATTTTATTCCATGGGTACCTGAGGTATCATGTGGAGATGTTTGCTTGCCACAACGGACGGGGAGATGCTACTAGCATCTAATGAGTACAGGGAACCTTCTAAATATAACACCACACACAAAGCAGCATGTACAACAAAAGAATGATCTGACTCAGTGTCAATACTGCAAAGACCACTTGGTCTGACCTTGGTCCTTCTCTTTGGTCAGAAAACCAGTAAATACTGCAGCAACAAAACTCAGCATAAATAATGCACCATAAGTAAAACAAAACAATGCAAGGCATGTATCCTGCATTGTGTATGACAGTAGGCATGTCAGCATGTGTGTGGTATGGCTTTAAAGACAAATACATAAACCAAGAAAATGAGTCTCAATTTAGTAGTCAATTGCCAATTTGTGATTTACAGGAGAAAAATATTTTACAAACAATGCTAAAAAATCTTGAAGCCAGGCAAGTGGCACATGCCTGTAATCCCAAAATTCTGGGAGGCTAAGATAGAAGAATCCAAGTTCGAGCTCAACCTAGGCTGTTTAGTGACTCAGACCCTTTCTCAAAGAAAAAAAAAAAAAAATGCTATCATGACTTTCCTCACGGTAGCCCGTGCTGCCTTCTCCAGGGTGTTCTTTTATCTTGTTTTTTCCTTTTTTACTTGGCCCAAGCTTGCTCTGCAGAGTCAGTTTCTCCCTCACTCTTCATTTTTACCTTTTCAAATAAACTTTGCCAACTGCTTTTGCTTGTTTCATTCAAAAATACAAAAAAGGTTGGGGATACAGCTCAGTCCAAAGACCTATGGGTATCTAAATCCCAATATCACACACACACAAAAATTGTTTGAACAACTAGAAAGAAATACCAGCCTACATTCACTAGCCCAGCTAACTTGCTAACTTTTAAAAAATTATAAATATGTGCATATAATATAGATGGGTATGGAATGAAAAAGCTCCTCTCCATGCCCCCATCTCCCATCTTTTTCCCATGAGAATCTTGAAATACCTAAACTTTTCCCAGAATTCCCAGCTATCCTACCCTATAACTCACTCTAACAATAACTTAAGGCAAATGTGATTGTGAAGGTCAGTAAACTAAGGGAAAAAGGTTTGTATGACTACATATGACTTTCACTACATCAAAGATAGCACTGCCCCTCTCTACTGGCAGGGGCACTCCTGAGTCAGTCATACTTAGTTGTAGGGGTTTTTTTGATTGATTCATTTTTAGGTATTTATTCCTAAACCTTTTATATTGTACATCTGGTTTCCCTTCTATCAAACAGAAAGTTTCCAAAGGAAAGTATTTAATAGGTATCTTTTTTGTAACTTCAAAAAGCACCCCCCTCGGTCCACATTTATCTGGCTAACTCCTGTCTATGAGCACAATCAGACGCACACTTACACTGGAAGGTACTGATCAAGGCCACTCAAGGTGGACAGCAGAGGAAGGAACACTGGCAAGAAACACTTACTGACCTGCCTGCTCCAAGGCAACCAACATGGACTGTTCAATGAGGTCTCTCTCTATGAAGCTGCGGAAGTCTTCGCTGTACACGGTGAGATCTGGAAGCTGGAAAGCACAGATGGGCATTTCCAGGGGGTGCTCATTGCTCCCCCCACCCCCACCACTGGAGGAGACCTGGGACCGGGCCAGGGAGACAATGCTGGAGCTGGCGTGGGAGATGCCCCTAGACAGACGTTTTTCTGCAATGAGAAACGGAGTCACTTAGAACATACACAGCCCACCAGAGAACTCTGCACTGATGTGGTGAAGACTGCCTCCTGACAGAGTTTCCCACCAGAGAAAAACTGCACCAAACACTTCAAACCGGTTTTCTTTTCTTTTTTGAGATAGGATTTCACTATGTAGCCCAGGTTGGCCTCAAACTTGCAGCGATCCTCCTGCCTCAGCCTCCCGAGTGCTGGGATTACAAGTGTGTGCCACCATGCCTGGCGAAAGTGGCATTCTTGCAGGCACTTAAATTAGCACCAAATATACATTCCTCTTTCTACCCTTGTTTGGAATCTGCCTGGCCTTCCTCTTCCTATGGCTCTGTTTTCTTATACTTCCATTTTCCACCACGAAAGGAACTCACTCATTTACAACTTGGTTATTGTTTGGTGGGAGGAAGGAATAAGGGAAATGGGTTTCATTCAGCTAGATTTAGTCAAATAATCTCTGATAATAGTTAGGGTCTTAGAGAATGCAGAAAGGATTTCTCTTATAGAAAAGAAAATTAATGGCATATCTTCCACACACAGGAACTTTTTCCTAAGTCAATGACATCTATTTATATTATTTACAACAACTTTTCTTGATACTCATATTTATCAGAAAATTATAGGGACAGTTAATTCATAACATGCTTAAAACCTTAGATAGTTCTCCAATCATTTATTTTGAGTGTGTTGCACTTGCAATTTTCCAGCTGCTTTTTCACAGTGGGCATAATTTGCTACAGTATTATAATGTATTTGCATGCCTTGAGTTATATAAGGATGCTATTAAGGAGGCAAGAGTTCAAATGTTGGCTGGCCATTCTCAAGCTAGTATCTGCCAGAGATGATACATTAAATAAATCAAGTTGTCTAAAGTTGATTCTGTAGTGATGTCATTCTAAAACATTTTTTAGGTATCTCAAAAGTATCATGTGTCATGATCAAAAATCAAAATGCTATCAAAAGGTATAAAAGACTTTATAAAGAAGTTTCCTCCCAAACTCAAAATTCCTCATCCTTTCTCCCAAGACAATCTTTTATATCTTCCTAGAAACTTTTTGCTTATAGAAAGCCCATACACTTTTTAAAAGGCAAACAAAAACATATTATACATATTGTATCTTACCTTTCTGAATAAGGGTTCGAGAGCTTTCCAAAACAACACATTAAGTTCTACCTAATTCCTTATAAAGGCTGCAGATTATTCCACAATAAGGATGGCTACTTATTTAATCACTTCTTTACTAATGGGCATTAAAAGATGTTTTCAAGTTTAGTTATTATAAAATGATTACATCGTATACGTATTTATGTATTTACTTATTTACAGATATATTCACATATACATGTATGATAAATCCCTAGAAATGAAACTGTTCAAAGACTATATATGGATTTTTAAATTTTGGTGGATACTGGCAAATATTAACAAATTATCACTTTCCAAAACAGGAGATGGCACTGACCCTTTTAATTCTACTTTTATATGAACCTAATGCCATCAATTAGACTGTTATCCTCTTGGCTCTATTTCTTTCACATATCTGAAGGAGACCTTTATAAGGCTAACACTCAGGACGCAGAGACGGTAAGGGACTCCGGTGTGTACAGACCTTAGCCATCTCATCTGGGCTTGGCTGGGATAAGGGGAAGAATCACTAGACTTTCTGGCTCTATTCAGCAGTCCCCGCCCTTCCTACTCTGCAGTATTCACAAGCATCCCTCATCCTCGTCACCCAGCCCTGTACCTTGAATGATGTCATCTTGCCGCTGCAAGCTGGGTCGGGAAGGGCGAGCACACTCCCTATCAGAACAGCCCTTTTCAGGGGTTTGGGAGCCACTGCTCCCTTCACTAAAGGCCAGGGGCAGGCACCCAGCATGGACTTGACGTAGCTGTTCAAAGTCACTGAGGGCAGCACTCACGTCCCAATTTTTTCCTGTCAGGACACAAAGCAAAAAGCAAATTATGCACTCAGGTATAGAGAAATTGGGAAAAGAAACAAAGACCACTCTAACTACACTAGCAAAACCTAGTAAGCAAAAGCAAAGTTATGTAGCTCGGTGACAGAGCACTTGCCTAGCATAGATGAGCCCCTGGATTCCATCACCAAAAATAAAACAAACAAAAAACATCAGTAGGTAAATACTAATACACACTTCAATCATTTTTCTTTGAATTTTCTTCATAATACTTCTATCCGAAATTCAATTTTTTTATTATTATCTATTTCCTAAGTAATGTCCATGAGGGGAGAGTCTCAGAACTCAAAGGGCCTTAGAAATCTAGTAACCTAAAACTAAAGCCTCCTTTTACAGATACAGGAAACAAATCTAAGAGAAGGAAAGGGACTTGCCCAGAGTCACAGCTAGTACGCAGCAGAGCTCAGCAGGATCCAAGCCCAGGTCTCCTAATTCTGAGATCCAGAGGTTCTGAACCTAGGTGCACTCTGGGGTGTCCTAAACAACCTGAAATTCTATGTGCCACTGTGAGTATCTGCATTTTTCTAAAGAAAGAGTTGACAGCTGTTATCAGCTTATCAAAGAGAACCACATTGCCCACACATTTAAATATCACTTACTCTACTAAAAAAAGAAGCCTAAGGGCCAGGGATTTAGCTCAGTGGTTCGGCGCCTGCCTCGCAAGCACAAGGTCCTGAGTTCAATCCCCAGCACCAAAAAAAACAAAAGAAAAGAAAGAATCCTAAGTGATAGAACTGTCATAATGGATTTTTCTGTAGCTTTCAGTCAAATTATTTACATACTGCTTAACTGTTCACATTTTTTCTGCTAGTTCATCTGCCATCAGCTTAATTCCCATCACCTACTATCCCATCTTCAATCCATTCTAAAAATATGCCATGAGATTCATTTTTCAAAGAAGTTCTGATCACTTATTTTGTTCCATGATCAAATCTTTAGATTATGGACGAATGGATAAAGAAGATGTAGGCTTTTTATACAATGGAGTACTACTCTGCCATAAAGAAGGATGAGCTCCAGGCATTTATAGCCAAATGGATGCACCTTGAGACCATACTCTTAAGTGAATAAATCAGACACACATGTTTAAATACCGTATTGTTTCTCCGGTATGAGAAACCGAAAGTGGCAATAAGGACTAAAATGTATAACAGATATGGGGAAATATGAAGAAAACATTCATATGGGAAGGGGAACAAGGGAAGACAGTAGAAAGGAAGGAAGGGACAAGAAGGAAAAATAGGCACAAAGCTTTTGTACATAGTGAGGGGAAGGGGGCTTGAGGGGTGAGAGGAAATGGGAAAAAAGAGGCAGGAAGTATCATGTACAGGGGCAAATTCCCTATGATGAGTGTTATCATTAGGTATGCCTAAAATGTACCAATAAATGTTTTGTGCCACAACCCACACAGCATAGGGTCCGAAGCTGGGGAGACCGGTGAGAGTTGAAGAAAAAAATGAAGAAACAAGGACTATTCTTGAAAGTTGGGACCAGGTAGAACCATAGCTTGTCAGGAGCTAAAGGCTGCCTAGCGTCCCACGTGCTCTTTATTTATAGTGGAAGGCAAACAGGAGGAGAAGGCGGGGCAACTAGTGCTACATGGCCTATGCGGCCTAGGCAGAACAAGCGTGATTATTTTGAGATTGGGCCATGCGCAGGAAGGGAACAGGGAAGGGTGCATGGTGTAACTGTCTCCTGGGGCTGTGCCACCCAGGGTCTACAATATTTGTCTATGGAGGAGAAAGGGAGTAGGGAGGAGGCAAAGGGCCCTTCTTCAGGCTCAGCCTTCGATAGTTTTGCTATAAAAAAATGTTTAGACAAGGAAAAAAAGATCTTTCAGTTATGGCTCATCATGCCTACAGAAGAGGGTGATGCTCTTCAGCCTGAGAGTCAAGGCTTTCTATGACATTGCCTGCTGTTCTAGCCTTTTCTCAGTGCTTCAATTTAATTTTTTTTTTCCTGACAGGGTCTCACTATGTAGTTCAGGTTGGCCTTGAACTCACTATGTAGCCCAGACTGGCCTCAAACTCGAACTCTCAGCAATCCTTCTGCCTCAGCCTCCTGAGTGTTGGGATTACAGGTGTGCACCACCATGCAACAGTCTTCAATTTCTTTATCTATGAAAATGCAGGTGATAAGGACAGTACCAACCTCAAGTGTGAGGAACAAACTTCCTAGAATGTCTTTTTTTTTTTTGGTACTGGGGATCGAACTCAGGACCTCAAACTTTCCAGGCAGGCGCTGTGCCACTGAGCTAAATCCCCCACCCTGTTCTTAGAATATCCTAAATTGGCTTCCACCTTAGGGCCTCTCCACTGACTATAAGGCCCTTTCACCAATATACCCACTCTGACAACTTCTTATCAGCTTCAGGAATTTGCTCAAATGTCTCATTCTTACTAAGTCCTACCTTGAATGCCCTACTGAAAACCATAATGCACCATCATTCTTCTTATATTTTCCACAGCACTCAACACCTTATAATATATTTATGGGCCAGAGGATGTAGCTCAGCAGCACTCTGCCTGCCTGGCAAGCACAAGGTCCTGAGTTCGATTCCTAGTACCCCCCCCAAATATATATATTTATTTATAATTTATATAGTTACCATGGTTTTTTTATTGGTACAATTTATATATACAATATGACGACATTCATCATTGGAAATTTGCACCTTTACATAATCTCTCTTGGTTCTTATTTTTCCCCCTTCCCCTCCCCTCCCCTCCCTTCAACCCCTCCATCCCTATTTACAAAGATTTTGTTTCCATTTTTTCATTTTCTCATATTAATTCCATTCCCTTCTTTTCTCTCCCCTACCCCTCATAGCTATCATGTTTTTTGACTGTCTTGCCTACTACAACACAAGGGTAGGGAATTTGGTTTGCTTTATTTTGTTCAAGCATCTGAAGAGTACCTGGCACTCAATATCTGTTGAATAAATGGAAGACTTTTTCCTAAATCAATCAGTGAATGTACTTCCGACTGTGTGCAAAGCTCCTTAAAATCAGGCCTTCTAACATTCAATGTATCCAAATATGAATATTCAACATCTTCCTTCACAAAACTTGCTACCTCTCTTCTATGTTCCCCAAGTCAGTGGTGGCATCACAATCCCTCCAGGCCCAGAGATTTCAGTCACTTCCAGCTTCTCACTGTTCCTCCGTGCTTCTCTCTTTGCCCACCACCCAGCCAGTCCTCATGGTTGTTTATATCCCTGAAATAGCTCTCAAGTCTATTCTTTTGTGTCTTTTATTGCCATTATCCCAATTCAGGTCCTCATACTTTCACTCAGTCTTTGGTCCTCTGAAAGGGAAATTCTCTAACTGATATCTTAGCTCTCAATCTCTCCCCATCTCTGACTTGTTCTTTACACTACAATCAGAGTTCACTTTTAAAGGAAAAAATCAAGCTACAAAAAGACAGAGAGTGTGGATTGGATCTGTGATTCCTCTTTTAAACTGTGTCTTAAATCCATCCACCTCTCTCTCTCCACTGCTGCCACTGTGGTCCAGGTCACCATCACCTCTCCCTTGAACTATGGTAATGTCCTTAACTGGTCACTGGCCACATTCCAATCCATTCAGTATCTGACAACCAGTACGCTATTAAAAACCAGAGTCTGATTAGAATCCTTTACCAGCTTTCCAGGGAACTGGGAATATCATGTAAACTCCTTACCATGGTCAAGAAAGGCTCCCCACACTCTGCTTCCTGTCTATCCAACCAACTTCCCACTGCACTTGCACCACTTCCTAAGTGCTATTAGGGTTCTCCAATGTGTCAAGCTCTCTCTTCCCTTAGGCCCTTGGGTAAGAAGATATTTGTCCTGCAAAAATCCTCTCCTCTTCCTCCTCCTGTCTTGCACTGAACCTCCTCAAAGACCTCTGTGCTCTCTAGATCTGAAAAAGGTTTCTCTCCTCATTCTCACTGCACCTCAACTTCTCTTTCATAACATGATCGTTTATACAGTGCCCTTAGCTTTTCCTCATAACATGAGCAGTTGTGCAAGCCTGCATACAGATAATAACTTGTAACATAATTGTTAAGAGCCATACTCTGAAACCAAATTGCAGCAGGTTCAAATCCTATTTAAGTTCACTGAACCTTAACAGAGTGGCTGAGAGAAAAAAGAATATATCTCAACTACCTTGCACATACTGGACACTTGAAAGTATTTAACACATGTTACATGAGGAATGGAGAATGTTCCACATTGTTTTACTTTAAAAAAGGACCCTTCTGAGCTGAATTTCAAGGGTGAGAATAATGGAAGAAAGAATACCGCACTTAGGAAACATGATCAGGGAAAGGGACAAGTCAAACCCGGATGGAACATAGGAAATGTGGGGAAAAGTAGTAGGAACTGAAAATCCAAGTTAAGGGGAAAATTGCACTGAATTAATAATCTGAAATTTAAACCCTGATCTTCTGTTTCTAAACTCTTCTCATAGGTAGCCAAGCAGAGGTCAAACTGTCTCAGCTTCCTAAGGGCTGACAATCTAAAAAATTACCAATGATCTAAGAACTTGCCCCTCCCCGTAAGCTCGCCACTGTGTGTCATTATATATTTTCTTCATCAAAAAGCATCTGCTTTTCTTTTTAAATTTTTATTAGTACATGTTTGCAGTACATAATTACATTCATTGTGAGGAATTGGTACATGTACATAACACACCATGTTTCATCCTTTTTTCCCCTTCCCCTGTACCCTCCTTTTTTTCTGTCAGCCATCAGATTCCTTTATTTATAAGTCCCTATAAAGTTAATTATCATACATACAGATTAACAACCAGGCTAATAGGCCAAAGACAATTACTGTATACTAAATCAAGGTATACTTTTAGATACATTGTCCATGCTGGATTATAACTTTTTTCCTCTCTCTTTTTTCTTATTATCTGTCTTCATACACTGAGTTTCTCATATATGAGAAACTATGCATATTTAATCTT